TTGGCTGAATGTAAGATATATTTTGCATGTGACCATTCCAAATTAATCCACATTTTTGTCGATCAAAAGACAATAAACGGAACTCAGCCCAGAGATTCTATATGGGCCAACATAACAGATTATTCAAAGAATAACAAAATTCAGCAATTATACAAGGTAATTAAAATCTCACAAGCATGGCATTTATCCAGCGCCTCGCTGCAATCGAGTCGAGCCCACAGATGACTAGAGAAAACTGACGATAAAAGGATGGTGGCTTGTCTTCGATCCGGCAGTTATGACTAGAATACCAATGAAAAAGAAAAGTTAAAAAACAGCATCTTTGAAACATCACAAGCAATGAAATATGACTGACGCTGTTACCGTGCAACCGCTGACTCGATTTTGCACGAAGGCGGCTGCTACCTCTGCTTTAGACTTTCCCACATCCGACATCCTGGAAATAATATACCGAAAACTCGATATTCCTGTACCTTGTTTTTATTATAGATGAAAGACGACGTTTCCGATTTGAATGTCTTCTTCAGAGACTAGGATCTCGAAGAAGGCGATCAAAATTCGAAGCAAAAGCTCAACTGGGCAATATGTTGGAGCACAATTCCTGGTCATAACGTTTTTAATCATCACATGTCATTCACTTATGTAAAAGATGATCTAAGCTGCGGTTGGCTTTCAGACATGGCTGGATGAGTGCTAAATCTTTGGAAAAAAAGTTTGTGTAAAGCAGCACTATGGTAGCATCTGCAGGTTATCACATTGACTACTCTTAGGTGCAATTCCTGGAGAATAAAAATGATGCCATATAACGGCACAAGGCCACCGTGTAAGTATGGAGCATTTAGGAGACTGGATTGTTCGAATGAGCATGAATATAGCAATAACTAGAAATCAAATTTTATCACGAAAACGAAGATTTCACTGTCAATCCATAAGAAACGAACCTGAACAGAAACTGCCTGTTTAGGTTGCTAATGTCTATGGTATCCATATCAATAACGTCTAAATTTCGAAAGCCAGATAGGGCCTGAAACAAAAATCAAACAAAGAAGCTACGTATTTGGATGAGGAAACAGCTATAGGAAGGAAATTTTGACTTGCTAGGTTTTTGAGCAGTTCGCAACCTAGACCTCCAGCTCCCACAACGAGAACTCGCATTTTTTGAAGAGCTGCCATGTTCTAAATGTTTTACAAGAATTTTCTATAGAACCCCATATTGTTAGTAATTTGATAACAATTTTACTACCTACCTCAGGACCTGGCTCAAACCACGGCACTGCATAAGCTGACGGCCTGTCCGTCAGTCGACGAACGTCTCGCCATCTCTCCTTTCTTAGTGGATCAGAACACACCGTATCCGCCATACGCAATCACCTACTCGCTACATACAAATCATAACTGACATAAGCGCACCGTGAAAATCACCACTTAGTAAACAAAATACAAAATCATAAACAAACAACGCCTCATGTAAACAGAAACCGTAATGTGAGTACCTACTCCCACCTTGGATGTGCTCACTATATCATAACTCTCTGAGTTTCTGAGTAGAATCATGGAAGTTGTTCTGTATCTTTGACTTCAAAAATCGAACGTAAAATGTCAATACTGATGTGCGCCTTTTCTGGACGCCCTAGATTTCCTGCTCGGATCCGTAAACAGGAACCAGAGGGATTCCACAAAATCACCGACTCCAAAATGGAAAACTGACTGTTTTCTTAAGTGGTTTGATTAACATACATTATTTCAGTTACCCGAGCCCAGGGTCAGGTTCTTGCTTCTATCGCTCAATGAACAGCCAACTGACAACGAAAGCACTGCCGGCTATTCAGTGTCTTAGCCCTATCGTGCGTTTGGATTTTTTCGCGTGCAAACTAAGTTTATTAAAGATGAATCGAATATAAGGGCGTAGATACCGAGCTAATACATCTGCAAATCTTCACACGATAAAAACTTTATTTGAAATGAAAAAAAAAACTATCAAAAGCACGGCAAAATGGAACACAAACTCGTCGCTACGTTGGAGATCGTAGATAACTTACTTCAAATGGTGAAACAAGATGCGACGAGCCGAAAAAGGTACAAAACATAGAAACGTGAAAAAGGATCAAGGTTCACCGAAAAGTAAAACGAATATCAAAGTGATTAACATTCCAATTGTTCCAGCTTTTCCAAGGTTTGTTCCAAGTGAGAAATATACCGATCATAGGGTACTGGATCACATCCAAGGACGGAATAGCGCATTCGCGTCTCATCCTCAAAAAACAATTTTTAGAAGCATAATCCTGTAATCCATAATCCTAGCATATCCTGCTAAAGATGGCGCGTCAATGGCCGTCAAGAAACAAACCTCTTTACAGTGTTAACATCACAATCAATCTAGAAAAAACTACTTACATTGAAAGTGCTCGGTTTCGCGTTTATTCGCCAGTTATAATATTTGAAGCAAATGTCCGTCAACACTCTATCATAAGCGTCCTTCTGAAGTTGCTTACAATTAAATCAGTCAAAAACATTTGGAGTATAAACTAGACTGAACAGTTATAGAGAGCGTCTTTGAGGATGATGAAAAATATTACGTCAGCTTCCTTCAGCTCGCCGAGTTGTTGAGCTTCCATTCCAAACACTTTCGTCGCAGAACTCGAGAACATAGTTACCCATATAGAGCCGGAGAGATCGGTGATCTCGGCCTAAAATGTGAATTCAGCTATCACTTCAACTGATTCTCACCAGTTCAGCGCAAAAC